GAGGCCCGCACCCCCGGGCGCAGGGAGCGTTTCTCCGCCGGCATCGCTGGTGGCCTGGGCCCCGGGGCGCACATTGGCGCCTGGGGCGAGTTCGAAGGCTTTGGGGAACCTTCGGCCAAGTGCGAGCAGCTCGCTCAGCCCTCTGGGCTCCCGGGGAGGCCCGCAGCGCCCGAGCCGCCAGGAGCCGCTTCTGCCCGGGAGCCTGGCTCCCAGCAGGTGGACCCTGGGCGGCGGGCGCCCGCCTCGTCTCCGCTTCAGAGGTGTTTCCAAGGAGCGCAGGGAGCGTTTTATTCGCCCGGAGGCCGCAGGTCTCAGGCCGCGGTGGGCCGGCCGGGGCGGGTCTGCTGCGCGCCGCCTCTGCCCCCTGCCGCGCGGAGCCGGGGGAAATGGGCGCCCACCCCTCCTGGCTCTGGCCACGTCGCCTCTGCCCCCGCCCCACTCCCACCTACCGGGCTGTGCGGCCCTGGCCGCGGGTCAGGGCGCCTGAGGACTCGGCAAGAGCCCTTCAGCGTGTGCACAGCGACGGGGCACGGGCCGGGCCGAGGCGCCCACCCCTCGCCCCCCGTGGGACCCGACGGCCACGTGGTCCCACCCGCGTCGCCGCTGCCTCTGCCCCTCTTCCTCCGCCGTCTCTCCCCAATCGCCGTAAGCGCGGAAGTCAAAGGGAGCCCCCAGGGGAGAGGCGTGGCCGGTTCTGGGGCCCGACGGCCTGTTTTCTGAACCAGGCGGTTCCCGGGCCTCTGACGAGCTCCCGTTCCCGTCAGCGCGGCGCTCACGCTGGTTTTGAAAACAGGACTTGTCTTCCCGCCGAGGGATGAGTCGAGCTGTTAGAGCACAGCGTGAAGTCTGTGAGAACCCCGGGGAGGCGGGACGCGGCTCCCGCAGTGCGGGGCGCGGGGATGCTACACTGAGCGGGGTGCGTGCACCGGCAGGGATGCGTGCACGGCGCGGGGGTGCGTACACCGGGCAGGGATGCGTGCACGGCGCGGGGATGCGTGAATGGCGCGGGGGTGCGTGCACCGGGCAGGGATGCGTGCGTGCACGGCGCGGGGGTGCGTGCAACCGCCAGGGATGCGTGCACGGCGCGGGGATGCGTACATCGAGCGGGGATGCGTGCACGGCGCGGGGGTGCGTACATCCAGCGGGGATGCTACACTGAGCGGGGTGCGTGCACCGGCAGGGATGCGTACACGGCGCGGGGATGCGTGCACGGCGCGGGGATGCGTACATCCAGCGGGGATGCGTACACGGCGCGGGGGTGCGTGCACCGGGCAGGGATGCGTGCACGGCGCGGGGGTGCGTGCATGGCGCGGGGGTGCGTGCACCGGGCAGGGATGCGTGCACGGCGCGGGGGTGCGTGCACCGCGTTCTCCCAGTCCCCCAGCCTTGCGGTTTCCTACGCCCGCCCCCACCTCGCGCCGTCGGGGCCTGCAGACCTCAGGTCCTTTGCGAGAAGTGCCCCGCTGGTTGTGCGGGTGGATTTCACAGCCAGTTAACACGCGGGAGACGGGGCTAACATGTAACATGGGAGCCTGTCTTTTTTTCCCGCGTCACTGACCCTACTCCCCCTTTTCCCATACACTGGTTTTCATCAGCGATTTTGCACAGCTCCGTGATTTTTAGGGATGATCGCGTCATGTGATAGCAGTGGTGACGTACAATCATTCACAAATTTCACTTGTACAGGAATGATGTGTGTGGAACAGGATGACGTCCCACGTGTATTTCTCCTGAGCTTGGTATGTTTTTCTTTTATTTTTCAGCCCATTCTCAGCTATGAGAATATTTTTAGGTTTGCTTTTCAAGAAGTACCAGCCCAGCAGGCGACTGAAGATGTCTCTGCCTTAGACCACTTCCTAGAGATGGGCGGTGAAGGAGCGCCAGGCTGCGGATCTGGGCATAAATGGTAGCCATGAACTGACAACTCCCCATTTATACTTTGGGTTGACAAAACAGACCCACGGGGCATTTTGTTTCTAGCTTTGAAGTGCATGGTCTCTCCCGAGAACTCAGCAGAGGGCCAGGTGGCACGGGGTTGGTGTCCAAGCCCCAGCCCCTCTTTTTGGAGCCATATTTAGCCTCTCCCCAGCTCCCCCTCAAGCTCACTTGAAGCAAAGTGGGCCCGGTGGTGGTGGTGCCAGCTCCTCAGGTCTCAGTGGGAGTGCTGGGGGTGTGGGTGGGACTAGGGGGCCTGGGCAGAGGGCACAGGGGCCTCCTGGGGGACTTGGCCAAGTGATCCTCTGACAGAGAAAACACCCCAGTGCCCTGGAGGGACATTCTCGGCCCCCAGGGACAGCCTGCCTGTGTTCCTCCTGCTGCCTGCAAGGCTGCGGCCCTGGGCCAGTTACCGAGGGGAAATCCCGAACCCTGCTGTGGGTAGGCAGCTGGGAAATGATTCTGGCACTTAGCGCTCTGTCCCCTCCTGTGGTTGTGTGCCTTCCCTTCCCCTCCAAGGGTGGCCTGGCGGCAATGGATGGCACCTAGACATTCACTTGCTCTCCGGTAAGCATTTGTTCTGCTCTCATTTGTGCGATCTTTGTGGCACCAGCATGGGCCTGGGCGTCTGAGACCGTCAGGGAACAAGACCAGGGAAATACCTGGCTGCACGGTGCTTCCTCCCCTTGGAGAGGACACTCGGTTATGAAAATGAGTCACTTGGTGCCAGGGACATGCTGCTCTGTGGAAAGAACAGAGCTGGAGGAGGATGAAGTGCTGGGGTCTGCAGGAGAGTAGATGCTGTTAGAGCAAGCAGACAACGTCCATGGGGCAGTGGGCCCCTCCCAAAAGGGAAGGCTGTTGGCAGGATTCTGAAAGGTCAGGTGCCCTGCACTGCTGCTGTTCAGAAGGCTTTCTAGGTTGCCTTTTAATTCGTGCATCCCTTCCGGCTCTGAATCTAGAAAATTCTGGAGAGCTCTTCAGAACGCAGACAGCACGTCCACTTCCCGATGCCTCTGGAGCGGGTCCCGCAGCCAGGAAACCTTCCTCCTAGTTCTCGGGGTCAGTGCTGCTCAGGTGAGGTAATCTGGGTGGAGATGGAGCCTTGGGGTGCATGGCCTTCACAGTGACGGTGCCAGCCACCCTGTGGCCAACGGCCTGCCTCGGAGAGCCATCTGCCCGGGAAACAGCGAGCTGGTCTGCAAGGGCACACCTGCCCCGGGACTTGGAAGACTGAGCCTCCCCAGGGGTGAAGCCGCTGCTCTGTCAGAAGGGTGGGCATCAAGGCCAGGTGGGCAGGGAGTGCAGAGGGGTGCTGGCAGTGGCTGTGGGCACCTACCCTGGGTGCTGGTGAAGGAGGTGGCTGGCTGAAGTGATGCCAGCGGGCCAGGACGAGGAGTTGAGGAGGGTGAGGAGACCCAGGTGACAGCAATCTGGCTCATGCAGACTGCCGAGGGCTGGCCTTCAGCAATTGACTGGGCAAAGGCCTTTCTCCATGTTTAAGTATCACAGAAATTCCCTTACATGGAAAATACAAAAGGGGCAGGCGGCCTGGTGAAGGCGGGGCACTGGAATGGTTGCTACATTGGCTGAGGGGCAACACTGGGCTAGGAGGAGTCAGAGAGGCCCCTGGCTGTGTCTTGGTGCCAGGAAAACAGGACAGGAGGAGGGAGGGGGAAGGGGCCTGACCAGGATGCTGAGGTGGGATGGCTCTGGCCTGGAGGTGGTGAGGTACAGGGGTCACACAGTCCAGCAGGGAGAGGGCAGCGTGAGGCGATGACAGCCCAGGGTCCTCTGAGTCCAGAGCAAACTGCCCTTTCCCTGCAGTGCAGGAGGGCAGGGCAGAGGACTGGAGCGGAAAGGACCCTTTCCTCCCCTGCTGACGGTGCTTTGCGTCCTCAGAACCTTTGCAGGAACCAGGGTCATGTTTCAGAAGGTTCCGAGCTCAAAGAGCCTGAAGAAGTTGGGGTGCGTGGAGCCCTGATCCAGACTAAGGTGAGCCGCAGACAACTCGCTGGCTGCCTGTCTCCGCGTTTGAGTCAGTCACTCTTTCGTTTATTAAAATGCATGTTTCCATCATCCAAGGCAGACATGGAGCATTCCCACCCCTGTGGCACAGCCTGTCACCCGCAAACCCGTGGGGAGGGCTGCAGGGAAAGCAGGACAGGGCTACATGCCCTGCTCACCAGTTTTCTCCACCGTCTGAAGTTCCTGCCGCAGCTGTAGTATCACCTGTCAAGGGGTGGTGGTGGGCTCAAGGCAGAAAGGATGGGCAGGAGAGGGACTTCTTAGAGAAGTCCGCTGGTTAGGGGTCTCCCAGCTGCCCCGACGCAGGTATTAAGGAGGAGCACCATGGCTGGGCCATTCTCCCTTCCAGGAGCATGTGTTGCCCGGGACCCCAGAGCTCTGTACACCCTCCTCCCTGAGGTGGGAGTGGCAGGTGGTGGTGGGTCCACCAGAGGGTCTGCTTTGATGGTGGGTGTGGACAGTGCCCTGTTGGGGAGGGTAGGTATGAAGACTTGATCTCGACTGGGAAGGCGGGAAGGGGACAGCAAGGGTGGGGCCAGATGCACACAGGGGGCTCAGCAGGAGCAAGCCGGGTGTGAACTGGTGCTACCCAGCAGGCAGGTGACAGGTGCTGCGGGGCATGGAGGAAAGGGCCCTCTGTAGGGTGCCCAGCAGGCTGGGTCCATGTGCTCTAGGAAAACACCCCAGGGCAGGAGGTAGGTGCAGGGCAGAGGCCACTTTAGAGCAGCGAGACACATGTCCATGTGGCTGTCAGGTGGATGCTGCAGGGCGAGAGCAGGAGGGTGGTGGTGTCCTCCATGGAGGCCAGACCCTGCCCAATGCTGTCCTGGGACCACAGGCCAGGTCACAGAGTCACTTGGGACGAGGCCCAACATCCCTCCAGCTGGGGTCCCGTCTGCCCTGGGAGATGTCACAAGCTGTGTCCTGGCGCCTCTGGGTGAGGTTCAGGCACCGCAGGAGAGATGCCGGGGGGAGCACAAGCTGGCAGGGGAGGCGGGTGGCCGGGCTGCGGCACTTCCTGTCGCGTGTGCTCCAGCCTCACGGCGGCCTGTCAGCTCTCAGGAACCCCGGGCGGCAGGCAGGGGCACCTGATCACATACAGCCTGCCTCCCGCAGGCACAGGCAGCACGTCCCAGCGCCACAGAGGAAGAGGGTGTTCAGTCTGCGTGGCCTGAGAATGACAGTTTCACGGTGGCATTTGCTGAGGCAGGTGCACTGTGTATCTCCATGAGGAGTTTATGTTTCCTTATTGGTAGCAGATACCAGAGCTGTTTTGGGGGGGTTTCCCAAATCCCAGGTCAGTGTCCCAGGGTCCTTTGGGTAAACCAGTCCTGCGCCCACTGGATCAGTTTAGATGGAGGGTCCTTTGGCAGAGCCAGTCCTCACCAAGAGGCATCAGGGATCCCAGGAGTTGCCCCTAGCCTGACAAACAAGGTGGCGCCAGAGCCCTCTGCCCTGAGTAGGTGCTGCTGGCCCCTGGGGGTGCCCTCTGAGGAACCCCAGGCCTGCCTGCCTGCACTGCCCGGGGCACCCCTGGGTCCCCACCCAGCAGCCTCTTGCACCCAGAGGGCAAACTTCCCCTAGTTATCAGCTGAAGAAACCCCCCTCTGACAGAGCCAGCAATAAAATTTTATAAAATTTTATTAAATAAAATTGCCTGGATAAGCCGTGTTCTTGCTGATTCACCTGCTCTTTGGGGACTGGTTCCAGAAATCCTGCCACAGCCTTCTCCCCACTCCTCAGGAGGCTGGCGCTCTGAGACTGCAGGGCACCCAGCACCCATGTGGAGGGACGCCAGCCATCACTGTCCCACCAAGGCCAAACCAGAGGCCAGGAGACCACAGTTGGGGGCCAGCCTTAGATGCTAGCACCTTTTACCCAGGTGCCAGACCCAAAGGGTGGCTTAGCAGGGACTACAGTGATGGGCAGGTTTCACCTGCCACTTTGGGGCCCCAGGCCGCCCCATCAGGCGCATGTGGTTTGGGGCTCTATGTTAAGGGGTAGCTCTGATGTTCTGGTGCTGCACACCTGGGAAATGTGCATTCATTCTCATTCTAGTCAGAAAGAGGCGAGTCTGGGAGCTGCTTTTCTACCATGCTGTTCCTCAACACCTTGGAGACTCCAGGGGCCCTGCCGAGTCTTGCCTCCCTCCCAGACTCAAACTGGGATGGGGATGCTGTCACTTTACCTGTTCCCACAGTGCCTCCCTGCCTCCTCGCTATAAGCCACATCCCCATTGTCCAAAACTCAACTCCCCACTCCCCAGCTCTGCCCCTCCAAGCGCCTCTTTCAGTGAATGGTACCACCACCCACCCACCCGGTCCCCAAGCCAGGAGCCATGGCGACCCCCTCACTCCCATCCAGACAGAGCCAAATATGGCTGAGTGTGTCCTGACGTCGGGCCAATCTCCTTGCAGAGGGGGCTTTTGAGAGAAGAGCAACAGGAGGGTGAGGCTGCTGCCAGGGAAGAGAAGCATCTGGGAGCTCAACGGTGTCAGCTGAGTGGGGACCCCAGGGTCCAAGCCAGAACCCACAGGCCTGCCTGGCCCTCCCTGTTCATTTTCTGGATATTTTATATCCAGAAGGCTGGCAAAATAGACCCTGTAGCTACTTCAAAACTGAACAAATAATTTTAAAAGACAGAAATGCTGTAAGACACAAATTACTGATTTAAGTTTATTGCTTCTAAGACACATCCACTTTAAACTACTTTCCACCAGAAGGAAACATTTCAAAACCTGAAGGGAGCAATCATGGTGGCTGAGGGCCACCCCACCCTGCTGTCCCCTGTAGTCACTTCCCGGCCCCTGCCAGGACCAACATCCAGCCTGTGACTGGCTCCTCCCAGGGACAACTCCAGGGATGCCTCTCTTCCTCAGGCCCCAGGGTCCCACTGCCCACCTAACATATCCAGGTGCAATTCCTTCCCCATCTCCACCAGGCACCTGAACTGGACCAGGAAAAAGACCCACCAAGGAGTGACATAGTGGAAAATCAGCACTCTCCCTGTCTGGTGGAACAATTTTAATAAAGTGAGGTGCACATCCAGGACACTGAAGCACCATCATGTGCCCAAAAGAAACAAACCTTTGTGGCAAAGGGCAGGGAAGGGAGAGAAGCATAAGCAGGAACCATGTGGGGAGAGCAGGCTCCCTTGTAAGCCAGAGAAAAGGCTGCAATGTGGGTGGTGGATGTCCACGCAGGGACACCGGGCAGGCGTAACCCCCACGCAGGGACACCGGGCAGGCGTAACCCCAACCCCACCGTCAATTACCCTTAGATCAGGGGCCACAAATGACACATGTCCACATTTGTTTTAATTGCAGACTTAAATTTAACCTTAACAGTTGGTCCCAGCACATTTACTAGAGCAGGCGTGGGCAGATCTGAGCACACAACTCCACACCAGGGCCCCACAGCCAGGCCATTTAGAGGCATGTGGGGCCCAGATCCAGGCCCTCAGGGGCCACCAGAAACTCCTTAGGTGTCTGAAGATCCACTAGGGCCAGAAAGGTACCTGACCTTCGCCCCAATGACATTTATACATAAATAGCCATAAATTAAACCCTACAAAATCTACTCTTATTCTAACAAAGAACAAAATCTACACTTATCCTAACGAATCTTGAAGGTCGGCCAGGCCCCCTCAGCAGACCTGGTCACGACTCCAGAACAAAAGGGTCCCCCTTCAGTGGCTTCTAACCGTGACAGCACATGGAGACAGTTCCACATAAGTTTATAGTGAGAAGTCAAGGCATGTGTGCACTGCTGACTTGGGGAGTGACACTCGTAAGAAAGAACAAACCTTAAAAAATTAAACACACCAACTGCAAGTGTGAGGTTATAAAAGTTTCTAATTAGCAGCAGAGGATGTTTATAGAAAAAATATACTTTTAAGAAAATAGCTGAAAAAATCTAAAGAGATAAAAGTACAAAAAGTTTACAAAATATATCTTAAGCCAAAATATTGCCCAAAACACATAAAACTTAATTTTTAAAAATTCACCTATTTGAAGTTAAACGAGGCTGATGCAGCTGGCAGCCGTGTCCTCCACGGAGCTGTGTTGGGACTCAGAGTGGAGGAAGGCCCGGGGCTGGTGGCACCTGAGGCAGGTCCAGGGTGACCAACCTGCAGGAAACTGTTCAGCCCCTGGGGGAGGGGGGAGAGCAGCGGGCAGACTGGGCCCTGGTCCGGGACTTCCTTGTAATCACGACAAAGCAGGGCTGACTCCGTGGTAGGTTGGTGCTCTGGGGGTGTCTGTGACCTGACAATCAAGGGCAGGGCAGCCTCAGGTCTCGACCAAGATCTCCACCACGTGATCCAGCTCGCCCAGGTCCCGCTTGCAGCTGGCGCTGGGGGGCGGGGCGCCCCCGGAAGCCAAGGTCTCGAACCCGTCCCCCGGAACCGACTTGCCGCCCACCATTCCCGTCAGCATGGCGTCCAGGTCGTAGTAGGGGCTGTCCACGTCCGCAAACAGCCCTTCCACCGAGCTGGGGGCTTTACTCTCCAGTGTTTCAAATATCTGATCCAGCGACTTCTGAAAGCTCCCTTTGTTTTCCCGGGGGCTGTCCGCTTCCCACATGCAGCTCTGCGCGCTCCGCGGGGCCTGCGCACCCGGGGCCACAGACAGTTCCGAGCCCAGGTCTGGAGTGGGGCCACCGGCGGAGTCGAGAGCAGGGTGCTCCCCGGGCTGCTCCCACGTGGTGCGACAGAGGATCTCGGTGGAGACGAGGCGGTCCAGCGGCCCCCGCCCCGCAGTCTGGGGTGCCGGCACCCGCCACATCCCATCCTGGGTCATCTCCTCTTGAATCTGCCGGACCGTGTTGGCTATGAGGACCGAGCGGCAGAGATTGGGCTCAACCAGCATGTGGCACAGCTGCAGCTTGACCAGGGACATGTCCAGGAGCGACTGCCGCTGCAGGCTGTAGGAGGGCGCAGCGGGGACGCCCTCCCCGTCCTCATCGCAGTCCGGGCACTTTCTCTTTAACCCTCGGGCAAACATCGTGTCCTGCAGAAACGAGGAAGACACCATTAGTGGTTTCAGAGACTGAGCCCCTCTGACACTGCCCCAGGGCCCTGGGAGAGGTGGGCAGAGGGGGTGAGCCGGGCAGGCCCTCCCTGGACCCCTAGGCTACCCCAGCTCCCAGGTGGAGTGGCTGCAGTTCCTGCATGCTCAGGGCGGACCGCTGGCCACGAGTCCTTGCTCTGCTCTGAAAAGCAGAAACACGAGGACCTGATGTTGGGGTTACCAAGCAGAGCACCTTGGGGTGGCGCCTCCCACTCCCCAGGGCTACCCCTTCTAGAAAAGCTACACCATGCTGAGCTAAGTCTCTTCTCAATTCTGTAAAGTAGCTAAACATTTTTACTTCAAATAATTCATTCAAGTTACTCATAAGAGGGTTGGAATCTTTAATATGCAAATTATTGGGTTTCCTTTTTAAAAAATACCAATCCTGTGGCTCCCTGAAGGTGTTG